GAATTGACTACTTCTACTTACACTTCCACCGACTCTGAAGGTAATATTACCACCGGTACCACCACCTACCCAGTCTCCCACACCAGTGAAGAAGAAGTCACCACTTCTACTTACACTTCCACCGACTCTGAAGGTAATGTTACCACCGGTACTACTACCTACCCAGTTTCTCACACCAGTGAAGAAGAAGTAACCACTTCTACTTACACTTCCACCGACTCTGAAGGTAATGTTACCACCGGTACCACCACCTACCCAGTCTCTCACACCAGTGAAGAAGAATTGACTACTTCTACTTACACTTCCACCGACTCTGAAGGTAATGTTACCACCGGTACCACCACCTACCCAGTCTCTCACACCAGTGAAGAAGAATTGGCTACTTCTACCTACACTTCCACTGACTCTGAAGGTAATGTTACCACCGGTACCACCACCTACCCAGTCTCTCACACTTCTGAAGAAGAAGTCACCACTTCTACTTACACTTCCACCGACTCTGAAGGTAATGTTACCACCGGTACCACCACCTACCCAGTCTCCCACTCCAGTGAAGAAGAAGTCATCACTTCTACCTACATTTCCACCGACTCTGAAGGTAATGTTACCACCGGTACCACCACCTACCCAGTCTCTCACACCAGTGAAGAAGAATTGACTACTTCTACTTACACTTCCACCGACTCTGAAGGTAATGTTACCACCGGTACCACTACCTACCCAGTCTCTCACACCAGTGAAGAAGATTTGACTACTTCTACTTACACTTCCACCGACTCTGAAGGTAATGTTACCACCGGTACCACCACCTACCCAGTCTCTCACACCAGTGAAGAAGAAATCACCACTTCTACTTACACTTCCACCGACTCTGAAGGTAATGTTACCACCGGTACCACCACCTACCCAGTCTCTCACACCAGTGAAGAAGAAGTCACCACTTCTACCTACACTTCCACCGACTCTGAAGGTAATGTTACCACCGGTACTACTACCTACCCAGTCTCCCACACTTCTGAAGAAGAATTGACTACTTCTACTTACACTTCCACCGACTCTGAAGGTAATGTTACCACCGGTACCACTACCTACCCAGTCTCTCACACTTCTGAAGAAGAATTGACTACTTCTACTTACACTTCCACTGACTCTGAAGGTAATGTTACCACCGGTACCACCACCTACCCAGTCTCCCACACCAGTGAAGAAGAAGTCACCACTTCTACCTACACTTCCACCGACTCTGAAGGTAATGTTACCACCGGTACCACCACCTACCCAGTCTCTCACACCAGTGAAGAAGAAGTCACCACTTCTACTTACACTTCCACCGACTCTGAAGGTAATGTTACCACCGGTACTACTACCTACCCAGTCTCGCACACCAGTGAAGAAGAAGTCACCACTTCTACTTACACTTCCACCGACTCTGAAGGTAATGTTACCACCGGTACCACCACCTACCCAGTCTCTCACACCAGTGAAGAAGAATTGACTACTTCTACTTACACTTCCACCGACTCTGAAGGTAATGTTACCACCGGTACCACCACCTACCCAGTCTCTCACACTTCTGAAGAAGAAGTCACCACTTCTACTTACACTTCCACCGACTCTGAAGGTAATGTTACCACCGGTACCACCACCTACCCAGTCTCCCACACCAGTGAAGAAGAAGTCACCACTTCTACTTACACTTCCACCGACTCTGAAGGTAATGTTACCACCGGTACCACCACCTACCCAGTCTCTCACACTTCTGAAGAAGAAGTCACCACTTCTATTTACACTTCCACCGACTCTGAAGGTAATGTTACCACCGGTACCACCACCTACCCAGTCTCTCACACTTCTGAAGAAGAAGTCACCACTTCTACTTACACTTCCACCGACTCTGAAGGTAATGTTACCACCGGTACCACTACCTACCCAGTTTCTCACACCAGTGAAGAAGAATTGACTACTTCTACTTACACTTCCACCGACTCTGAAGGTAATGTTACCACCGGTACCACCACCTACCCAGTCTCCCACACCAGTGAAGAAGAAGTCACCACTTCTACTTACTCTTCCACCGACTCTGAAGGTAATGTTACCACCGGTACTACTACCTACCCAGTCTCCCACACCAGTGAAGAAGAAGTCACCACTTCTACTTACACTTCCACCGACTCTGAAGGTAATGTTACCACCGGTACTACTACCTACCCAGTCTCCCACACCAGTGAAGAAGAAGTAACCACTTCTACCTACACTTCCACCGACTCTGAAGGTAATGTTACCACCGGTACCACTACCTACCCAGTTTCTCACACCAGTGAAGAAGAAGTCACCACTTCTACTTACACTTCCACCGACTCTGAAGGTAATGTTACCACCGGTACTACTACCTACCCAGTCTCCCACACCAGTGAAGAAGAATTTACTACTTCTACTTACACTTCCACCGACTCTGAAGGTAATGTTACCACCGGTACTACTACCTACCCAGTCTCCCACACCAGTGAAGAAGAATTGACTACTTCTACTTACACTTCCACCGACTCTGAAGGTAATGTTACCACCGGTACTACTACCTACCCAGTTTCTCACACCAGTGAAGAAGAAGTAACCACTTCTACTTACACTTCCACCGACTCTGAAGGTAATGTTACCACCGGTACCACCACCTACCCAGTCTCTCACACCAGTGAAGAAGAATTGACTACTTCTACTTACACTTCCACCGACTCTGAAGGTAATGTTACCACCGGTACCACCACCTACCCAGTCTCTCACACTTCTGAAGAAGAAGTCACCACTTCTACTTACACTTCCACCGACTCTGAAGGTAATGTTACCACCGGTACCACCACCTACCCAGTCTCCCACACCAGTGAAGAAGAATTGACTACTTCTACTTACACTTCCACCGACTCTGAAGGTAATGTTACCACCGGTACCACCACCTACCCAGTTTCTCACACCAGTGAAGAAGAATTGACTACTTCTACCTACACTTCCACCGACTCTGAAGGTAATGTTACCACCGGTACCACTACCTACCCAGTTTCTCACACCAGTGAAGAAGAATTGACTACTTCTACCTACACTTCCACCGACTCTGAAGGTAATGTTACCACCGGTACCACTACCTACCCAGTTTCTCACACCAGTGAAGAAGAATTGACTACTTCTACTTACACTTCCACCGACTCTGAAGGTAATGTTACCACCGGTACTACTACCTACCCAGTCTCTCACACTTCTGAAGAAGAAGTCACCACTTCTACTTACACTTCCACCGACTCTGAAGGTAATGTTACCACCGGTACCACCACCTACCCAGTCTCTCACACCAGTGAAGAAGAATTGACTACTTCTACTTACACTTCCACCGACTCTGAAGGTAATGTTACCACCGGTACCACCACCTACCCAGTCTCTCACACTTCTGAAGAAGAATTGACTACTTCTACTTACACTTCCACCGACTCTGAAGGTAATGTTACCACCGGTACCACTACCTACCCAGTTTCTCACACCAGTGAAGAAGAATTGACTACTTCTACCTACACTTCCACCGACTCTGAAGGTAATGTTACCACCGGTACCACTACCTACCCAGTTTCTCACACCAGTGAAGAAGAATTGACTACTTCTACTTACACTTCCACCGACTCTGAAGGTAATGTTACCACCGGTACCACCACCTACCCAGTCTCCCACACCAGTGAAGAAGAAGTAACCACTTCTACTTACACTTCCACCGACTCTGAAGGTAATGTTACCACCGGTACTACTACCTACCCAGTTTCTCACACCAGTGAAGAAGAAGTAACCACTTCTACTTACACTTCCACCGACTCTGAAGGTAATGTTACCACCGGTACCACCACCTACCCAGTCTCTCACACCAGTGAAGAAGAATTGACTACTTCTACTTACACTTCCACCGACTCTGAAGGTAATGTTACCACCGGTACCACCACCTACCCAGTCTCTCACACTTCTGAAGAAGAAGTCACCACTTCTACTTACACTTCCACCGACTCTGAAGGTAATGTTACCACCGGTACCACCACCTACCCAGTCTCCCACACCAGTGAAGAAGAATTGACTACTTCTACTTACACTTCCACCGACTCTGAAGGTAATGTTACCACCGGTACCACCACCTACCCAGTCTCTCACACTTCTGAAGAAGAAGTCACCACTTCTACTTACACTTCCACCGACTCTGAAGGTAATGTTACCACCGGTACTACTACCTACCCAGTCTCGCACACCAGTGAAGAAGAAGTCACCACTTCTACTTACACTTCCACCGACTCTGAAGGTAATGTTACCACCGGTACCACCACCTACCCAGTCTCTCACACCAGTGAAGAAGAAGTCACCACTTCTACTTACACTTCCACCGACTCTGAAGGTAATGTTACCACCGGTACCACCACCTACCCAGTCTCACACACCAGTGAAGAAGAAGTCACCACTTCTACTTACACTTCCACCGACTCTGAAGGTAATGTTACCACCGGTACTACTACCTACCCAGTCTCTCACACCAGTGAAGAAGAATTGACTACTTCTACCTACACTTCCACCGACTCTGAAGGTAATGTTACCACCGGTACCACTACCTACCCAGTTTCTCACACCAGTGAAGAAGAATTGACTACTTCTACCTACACTTCCACCGACTCTGAAGGTAATGTTACCACCGGTACCACTACCTACCCAGTCTCTCACACTTCTAAAGAAGAAGTCACCACTTCTACTTACACTTCCACCGACTCTGAAGGTAATGTTACCACCGGTACCACTACCTACCCAGTTTCTCACACCAGTGAAGAAGAAGTAACCACTTCTACTTACACTTCCACCGACTCTGAAGGTAATGTTACCACCGGTACCACCACCTACCCAGTCTCTCACACTTCTGAAGAAGAAGTCACCACTTCTACTTACACTTCCACCGACTCTGAAGGTAATGTTACCACCGGTACCACCACCTACCCAGTCTCTCACACCAGTGAAGAAGAATTGACTACTTCTACTTACACTTCCACCGACTCTGAAGGTAATGTTACCACCGGTACCACCACCTACCCAGTCTCTCACACTTCTGAAGAAGAAGTCACCACTTCTACTTACACTTCCACCGACTCTGAAGGTAATGTTACCACCGGTACCACCACCTACCCAGTCTCCCACACCAGTGAAGAAGAATTGGCTACTTCTACCTACACTTCCACTGACTCTGAAGGTAATGTTACCACCGGTACCACCACCTACCCAGTCTCTCACACTTCTGAAGAAGAAGTCACCACTTCTACTTACACTTCCACCGACTCTGAAGGTAATGTTACCACCGGTACCACCACCTACCCAGTCTCTCACACCAGTGAAGAAGAAGTCACCACTTCTACTTACACTTCCACCGACTCTGAAGGTAATGTTACCACCGGTACTACTACCTACCCAGTCTCTCACACCAGTGAAGAAAAAGTAACCACTTCTACTTACACTTCCACCGACTCTGAAGGTAATGTTACCACCGGTACTACTACCTACCCAGTCTCCCACACCAGTGAAGAAGAAGTAACCACTTCTACTTACACTTCCACCGACTCTGAAGGTAATGTTACCACCGGTACTACTACCTACCCAGTCTCCCACACCAGTGAAGAAGAATTGGCTACTTCTACCTACACTTCCACTGACTCTGAAGGTAATGTTACCACCGGTACTACTACCTACCCAGTCTCTCACACCAGTGAAGAAGAAGTCACCACTTCTACTTACACTTCCACCGACTCTGAAGGTAATGTTACCACCGGTACTACTACCTACCCAGTCTCTCACACCAGTGAAGAAGAATTGGCTACTTCTACCTACACTTCCACTGACTCTGAAGGTAATGTTACCACCGGTACCACCACCTACCCAGTCTCTCACACTTCTGAAGAAGAAGTCACCACTTCTACTTACACTTCCACCGACTCTGAAGGTAATGTTACCACCGGTACCACTACCTACCCAGTCTCTCACACTTCTGAAGAAGAAGTCACCACTTCTACCTACACTTCCACTGACTCTGAAGGTAATGTTACCACCGGTACCACCACCTACCCAGTCTCTCACACTTCTGAAGAAGAAGTCACCACTTCTACTTACACTTCCACCGACTCTGAAGGTAATGTTACCACCGGTACCACCACCTACCCAGTCTCTCACACCAGTGAAGAAGAATTGACTACTTCTACCTACACTTCCACCGACTCTGAAGGTAATGTTACCACCGGTACCACTACCTACCCAGTTTCTCACACCAGTGAAGAAGAATTGACTACTTCTACTTACACTTCCACCGACTCTGAAGGTAATGTTACCACCGGTACCACTACCTACCCAGTCTCTCACACCAGTGAAGAAGAATTGACTACTTCTACTTACATTTCCACCGACTCTGAAGGTAATGTTACCACCGGTACCACTACCTACCCAGTCTCTCACACCAGTGAAGAAGAAGTCACCACTTCTACTTACACTTCCACCGACTCTGAAGGTAATGTTACCACCGGTACCACTACCTACCCAGTCTCTCACACCAGTGAAGAAGAATTGACTACTTCTACTTACACTTCCACTGACTCTGAAGGTAATGTTACCACTGGTACCACTACCTACCCAGTCTCTCACACCAGTGAAGAAGAAGTCACCACTTCTACTTACACTTCCACCGACTCTGAAGGTAATGTTACCACTGGTACCACTACCTACCCAGTCTCTCACACCAGTGAAGAAGAAGTCACCACTTCTACTTACACTTCCACCGACTCTGAAGGTAATGTTACCACCGGTACCACTACCTACCCAGTCTCTCACACCAGTGAAGAAGAAGTCACCACTTCTACTTACACTTCCACCGACTCTGAAGGTAATGTTACCACCGGTACCACTACCTACCCAGTCTCTCACACCAGTGAAGAAGAATTGACTACTTCTACTTACACTACCACCGACTCTGAAGGTAATGTTACCACCGGTACCACTACCTACCCAGTCTCTCACACCAGTGAAGAAGAATTGACTACTTCTACTTACACTTCCACCGACTCTGAAGGTAATGTTACCACCGGTACCACTACCTACCCAGTCTCTCACACCAGTGAAGAAGAAGTCACCACTTCTACTTACACTTCCACCGACTCTGAAGGTAATGTTACCACCGGTACCACCACCTACCCAGTCTCGCACACCAGTGAAGAAGAAGTCACCACTTCTACTTACACTTCCACCGACTCTGAAGGTAATGTTACCACCGGTACCACTACCTACCCAGTTTCTCACACCAGTGAAGAAGAATTGACTACTTCTACCTACACTTCCACCGACTCTGAAGGTAATGTTACCACCGGTACTACTACCTACCCAGTTTCTCACACCAGTGAAGAAGAATTTACCACTTCTACTTACACTTCCACCGACTCTGAAGGTAATGTTACCACCGGTACCACCACCTACCCAGTCTCGCACACCAGTGAAGAAGAAGTCACCACTTCTACTTACACTTCCACCGACTCTGAAGGTAATGTTACCACCGGTACCACCACCTACCCAGTTTCTCACACCAGTGAAGAAGAATTGACTACTTCTACCTACACTTCCACCGACTCTGAAGGTAATGTTACCACCGGTACTACTACCTACCCAGTTTCTCACACCAGTGAAGAAGAATTTACTACTTCTACTTACACTTCCACCGACTCTGAAGGTAATGTTACCACCGGTACCACCACCTACCCAGTCTCCCACACCAGTGAAGAAGAAGTCACCACTTCTACTTACACTTCCACCGACTCTGAAGGTAATGTTACCACCGGTACCACCACCTACCCAGTCTTTCACACTTCTGAAGAAGAAGTCACCACTTCTACTTACACTTCCACCGACTCTGAAGGTAATGTTACCACCGGTACCACCACCTACCCAGTTTCTCACACCAGTGAAGAAGAAGTCACCACTTCTACTTACACTTCCACCGACTCTGAAGGTAATGTTACCACCGGTACCACCACCTACCCAGTCTCTCACACTTCTGAAGAAGAAGTCACCACTTCTACTTACACTTCCACCGACTCTGAAGGTAATGTTACCACCGGTACCACTACCTACCCAGTTTCTCACACCAGTGAAGAAGAAGTCACCACTTCTACTTACACTTCCACCGACTCTGAAGGTAATGTTACCACCGGTACCACCACCTACCCAGTCTCTCACACTTCTGAAGAAGAAGTCACCACTTCTACTTACACTTCCACCGACTCTGAAGGTAATGTTACCACCGGTACCACCACCTACCCAGTCTCTCACACCAGTGAAGAAGAAATCACCACTTCTACTTACACTTCCACCGACTCTGAAGGTAATGTTACCACCGGTACTACTACCCACCCAGTCTCCCACACCAGTGAAGAAGAAATCACCACTTCTACTTACACTTCCACCGACTCTGAAGGTAATGTTACCACCGGTACCACCACCTACCCAGTCTCCCACACCAGTGAAGAAGAAATCACCACTTCTACTTACACTTCCACCGACTCTGAAGGTAATGTTACCACCGGTACCACCACCTACCCAGTCTCTCACACCAGTGAAGAAGAATTGACTACTTCTACTTACACTTCCACCGACTCTGAAGGTAATGTTACCACCGGTACCACCACCTACCCAGTCTCTCACACCAGTGAAGAAGAAGTCATCACTTCTACTTACACTTCCACCGACTCTGAAGGTAATGTTACCACCGGTACCACCACCTACCCAGTCTCTCACACCAGTGAAGAAGAATTGACTACTTCTACCTACACTTCCACCGACTCTGAGGGTAATGTTACCACTGGTACCACTACTTTGGAGGTGTCGGAAGTTTCCAGTTCGAGTGTCGTAGTTACGGAAAGTGTTTCTACAGTAACTGTAACTATGTCTGATGGTAATGTGGTAACTTTGACGACTACTGTTCCATGTTCTACTTCTGTAGGTTCAACTAGGCCAACAGATAACACTGTTACTTACATTACCACCACTGACTCTGCAGGTCACACAACTGTTATAACCTCATCTGCTGCTAGTGAAACTGCTAAACCAACAGATAACACTGTTACTCACATTACCACTACCGACTCTGCAGGTCACACAACTGTTATAACCTCATCTGCTGCTAGTGAAACTGCTAAACCAACAGATAACACTGTTACCCATATCACCACCACTGACTCTGCAGGTCACACAACTGTTATAACCTCATCTGCTGCTAGTGAAACTGCTAAACCAACAGATAACACTGTTACTCACATTACCACTACCGACTCTGCAGGTCATACGACTATTATAACCTCATCTGTTCCAACTTCTAATACACAAAGTGTAACTACATTGGTTCCACCAGGTAGCTCTATGTCAACTGTATCTTCAGATTTGAATACTTCTGTCACTGATGATGTCACATCATCTGGATCTAACCCATCTGCTACTGTAGGTATCTCATCTTCTTATGAAGGTGCTGGTGTATCAAATAAGATAAGCAATTCATTATCCGGTTTGATTGGTATGATTGTTTTGGCAATTTTGGTTTAGTCTATTTAAGATTTATAACTACCGTTTTTAGTTCGTTAATTTATTCAAATATTGTATAAATAATCTAGACAATATATATTATTTGTGTTATTTTATTAGATTTAGATTTCGTTAAGAAGCTATTTTCAGTCAGATATAGATTACAATACTATTTAAGTGAGTGTATATTAATGTATAAAATTTCATGGACTAGAGGAGTAACTTATTACTGGTTGCATATATTAATAAATCAAATAGAATTCAATGTTTATAAGTATAGCTTGAAAGCAGGATCTTTCTTAGTTTTAATTTGGATGTTTTAATTTGGATGATCTTATGGATATAGAAGTCTGTGGATTTGTTGCAGGGTTTATATTTAGTGTAGGTTACTTATATGAAATGGAAATAATTAACAGAAATAGTGAATAAAAAACATGATATTATTATTGATTATTTCAAATATATGTGATTGCTTTATATTTTATATCTAATAAGTAATCCTGTATTGTTTGATCCGGAATATTAAATATTAGGGTATTAAGTATTTATATAGGCCTTATTGGCATTTTATTAGTGTCCTTCTTTTTCCTTATTCTTGTTGTTTTGTACAAAAACGAATTCACTACTAAACATAAGACTGCCTTTTAAGTTTAGTTTTTTCAAAAATATTTTGTTGGTGGAAGTAAAAAGGCAGAAGATAAAAAAATGAATGCCAAAATATAAAACTGTAGAGTACTTCGAAGGTTAATGGTAGGATTAGAAGTATGCTGATTAAAAATCAAGCCTTATATATGTGAGTGAGATATTTTGTGTTTGAAATATGGAATTGATTGAATTATATTTTAAGAGTTATTTAATGTGGTTTTCATTTTATATTTTTAATAATATACCCTAATATGCAGCAGTACGATGATAGATATTAGAAGAAGTCAATATGTAATTTTTTGATATTATTGTAAATATACGATTCAAATACTTTCTTTATAGTAAGCTTGGAGTAAACGAATTCTGAGATAAATAGATTAAAATAGTTCATTGAGAGGATATTAGATTATTGTCATAACTTTATGTAATATTATATAATCTAGTTATATGTAGACACAAATAGAGAATGTACTTGTATTACCATTTATTTGAAGTACGATATGATAAGATAGATTAAGATAGAAGTATCACTGTTATGAGAAAGTTTAATAATATATTATACTTTATAAGTAGACAATATTTTGGAGTCAAATAAAAGTTTTGTATATTTTTCTTGAATATTTGGGTAATATACGGAATACTATGCAAAATGCAAATTTAAGATATATTATTAACTATGGTACCGGAAGTATAGATCCTTGTATTATATGTAGGTTCTTTGTTTGTTTGTAGTCTGGAAACTATTTATTAATGAAAAATAAACTAGATCTGTGACAGAAAAAGGGAAATGTGGGTGGTAAAGACTAAATTTATTTCTGATATGAATTTCTATTCTAGAAATCTTGAAATGATTATGAGGTATATTATGTATAATTCAATGTGTGTTAAAATGTAAGAGATTATGAAGTATGAAAGTCAAGTGAGAGTTATGTATTCAAGTGTCGAGATGGAAGTAATATTATAGTTATATAATGGTAATTATAAATTTTAGTGTTGTCAAAATTGTTTGTGTTATTTTAGATTATTTAAATTAAAAAAGATAGTTGATTATTATTTGGATGAGAAATTTGAGTGTAAAGCATAGGCAAATACTAGATAATGACAGTGTGGATAGGCCTTTAGGTGCAAGGAAATTTTTATTTAGTGGCAAGGCTTTCCAAGAAGAGTATTTCATTGATCATTATAGCGATGTTAGAAATATGTTCTATGATAATTTAAGAAAACTAAAGAATTATTACAATGATCAAAGATATTAAAGATTTAACTGCAGTGGCAGAAATGAGCCAAAGATAAGAATTATTCATTTATTTCATAGAGATATTCGGAGGTCACTGATTTCAACACCTGGTTCCTATAATGAATGTCGATGCAGGTTAGAAACTGAGAAGGAACTAATAACAGTTTCGAAGTTATCACCCTTTTGTTGATTCATGTTAAACTATATTGCTGAGGCACTGATCCTTAATTCTATTATATATAACTATATAAGGATTAGATAGAGAGCAAGAATAGTTTTCACTAAGATAGAAAATTATCCCTTTATGTAACTTACGCAGTTTATTTGATTATTCTATATAGATGCTACCTATACTGGCTTGCTGGTTTGCTTTTAATGCTAGCCATATTCCAACAATTTGTAAAATCTTTTATGCTATTATTACTGATGAAGAAAAATATAGGGAATACGTAACTCTGATAATTCGTCTATCCTGTTTTGATTGGAATAAACCGTCTGAGAAGTTACCTCCTACTATATCATACTTGAAGTTTCGGTATATCTTAGATTCCTTGAAATGTTGGACGGCTTATGCAACTCTATTCCGTAGTGTCCAATTACAAAATATTTCAAGTACGTTAAAATTATTCACGTATTCTATCAAATCTGAACAAAGCAAAGCCTACTGTTTAATTAAAGATACTTATAAGAATCTGCTTAAAGAAATAACCGATATTCCTGGACATTCCTTTATACCTTTAGGTCCTGGGAAATATTTGTTAGATGGTAAGTCATTTCAAAAAGAATATTTAGTTCATCTTTATAGCGACGCTAAAAAATTGTTCGATAGTAAGTTAGAAGATCTAGGTCATTATTACAAAGATCTTAGAGATATATCTGTGGTGGCAGAAATGACAATCAAATCCCCCAAATGTGTTCCCTTTGAAAGCAGAGATCAGCCAAAGATAAGTATTACTGATTTGTTTAACAGAGATACTCAGTTATCTGTAATTCCAACAATTTGTTCCTATACTGAAGATGATAATAATAGAATAATTAATCTTATTGTCGATTGTCTAACTTGTTTAACGCCGATGATATACGTTTCATCTGGTGGTCCATATAGGTTTCCTGAAATGAGAGTACTTAAGTTTGCTGGTAATGCAAGAAATTTGTTCATTAACCCGATTGACAAAACAGTTGAGCTCATTACTACTTATTCAAAAAAAAAAATCCCATATTCCTATATGCAAGGTCGTCGATGAGTTGACTTCTGACTATATTATATATGCTATTTTGGTTCTATCTCCAATTATTCGTAAGCATACTAATGATATGAACTACGTTATGAATCGTGATTTACTAAATGAAATAAGTTCCGAAAGTAACTTGAATCAACGTATTATTGACCTCACACCTCAACAAGATTTAAGTGATAATGAATTCACTTCTCAGGTTTTAGAATCTTATTTATTTGTTGATCCGATTATACGGACTTTGATCGAGTATAATAAGTTTAGTTTCCTTATTAAACACTAACCTTCATGCGAACTTGAAAACTTACGCTTTAATTTTAGGGCCTTAAGACATGCAATTATTGGTATTCAAAGATATCAGTTATCTGTCGATGATACTGGTATGCGTATTGATCCAGCAGTCGCAAGACAGGCTGGTCACTCTTTGTCGACAGACATCCAGAGATATGGCGTTAATTCTACGGGTATGGCAGGATATCAAATTACCACAACAACAATATATGGATATTTCATTTCCAAAACCTGGATAAAATCATTGGGTCTTGGATATGAAGTTTCAAATTTGGTTCCTAAAGATGTAAAATTAAATAAAGAGAAGCCTAATTTCCTAGTAAGTGGTAACATGAAAGGCATTATTGCTAAATGTGATGAAATTTATGGAGACTTATTTAAGATTAAACCAGAACAGATGGAACTTTGTGTTGATGTTTGTTTTGGTTCCTCTGAAATTATTCCAGTGCAAGCACTTCCTGGATTTGGTAAAACAACTATTTTTGAAATACCTTTGAATATTAGTTCCACTAACAAAAGGAATAAGCATTTTGTTTCTTTTGTATTTGTGCCATATAGCTGTCTTTTAGACGATATTATGGATCGTTTTAAGCTGTCTGGTACTTTGAAAATTGGTGAAGTTAAAGATATTCTGCGCAATCGTGGATTTTGTGGTGAAGCTGAACTTACCTGTGATGTTTATTTTGGAACTTTTCATGACTTCGGAAAAGAACAGTTCTTGAATTTAATCAACAATTGGTATGATATTTTTCAGAATACTATACTAGGTATGATGGTAATTGATGAAGCTCACAATCTTGTTTGCGAACAGGAATATCGTATGGACTCTTTTTTAATATTTCTAATATCTGTTTTGACAAAGCTTGGAAGGTTTTACTTCTGTCTGGTACTGTTGGTGAAAATACGATGGGAGAAGTGACTAAATTTTTGGGATATAGGCAAGATTTGACCTATGATGCTACTGATAACAAAAATATTCTTTGGTATAATTTTGTTAAGAATGTTCCTTTAAGTAGAATAGATAAGGAATTCATTCTTACTAAAGACAGATCTGAATCCATTACTTAGACCCTGTAATTGGTTGAAGGAATTATTAATACTATTGATAATCCCAAAATCATTCTTGTTTGTAAGGAAAGGGAAATGGTGGAGATTATAAATCAAAATTTGGTTAATAACAATATTTCTTCTTGTTATGTTCATGGAAAATTAACATCTGAAGAAAAAACCAATTCATTCAATAGTTTCAAGAAGGACAAAGGAAAAAAAGTTCTTGTTGGGACTAAATTGGTTTCAGAAGGTATTAATATTCCAGAATTGAATTATGTTATTTTGGTTAATTATCTTCCTCAAATTCACGAATATATCCAGACTGCTGGAAGAATTAGAGGGGAGAGTGCATGTATTACACTGTGGAATGAAGCATGTAGAGATGAATTCTCCATCAATTCCAAGTGTATCGTGAGCCAAATGAGTAGTTTCTATGGTCTAGCAAATATA